GGATAAAAGAGGAGCGTTGGGCATGAGTTTGGAGAACCCATCTTGTCAAAAAATAACTTGCCCAAAATGATAACCAGAAAAAATAATTCAAACCATTTCAACTCTACAATGGGAGTTAGAATTATGACGTCGCGTGATGAAAGCCGAGTTCCCTCGGAAGTCAGCGGGCCGATGCCTCTTCTGACAACCAGAGCAACAATTCTTTTACGTCCATTGAACGTTCGTACATTGTGGGATACTGAAAGACTATTTCGAGTAGCGGCAGAAATGAGAAGATACAACCCCGTGGTGCTCGGAATCAGTGAAACGCATTGGACACAGGTAGGACAACTGAGACTAGCTTCAGGGGAACTGCTGTTACAATCTGGTCATGAAGAGGAAAATACTTCACATACACAAGGAGTTGCACTGAATGCCAAGGTTGGAATGGACAACACTGGATATGAAGACATCATGGGACGACATGGACTGGGAGGAAGGAACGAAAGCGGTGAGAGATTTGCAAACCTATGTACCTTCAACAAACTGGTCATCGTTGGCACAATATTCCCACACAAACGCATACTCAAAGCTACATAGATTTCACTACTGAAAACCAAATTAACCATATCTGTATCAACAAAACGTTCAGAAGGACTATGGAGGATGTGAGAACCAAGAGAGGAGCTGATATAGCTTCAGATCACCACTTGCTGGTCGCCAAAATGAAACTGAAACTAAAGAAGCACTGGACAACTGGGCAGACAACATCGCACAAGTTTAATACGGCCTTTCTTCGAGATCCCGTGAAACTCAACGAATTCAAGATAGCCCTGACCAATAGGTTCCAGGCCTTTCAGGATCTACTCAATGGAGAGGAAGCAACATTGGAGAGCAATTGGAAAGGGATTAAGGAGGCAATGACTTCAAAATGTCACGAAGTTCTGGGTCACAAGAAGTACCATCACAAGGAATGGATCTCTGTTGATACTCTTGCAAAAATTTAAGAAAGGAGGAACAAGAAGGCAGTAATCAACGTCAGCCGAACAAGAGCAGAGAAAGTTAGGGCGCAAGCCGAGTATACAGAAGCAAACAGGGAAGTGAACTAGAGCAATGACGGTGGAAAAGCCTGCAGGAGACGGAAACTTGAGACAATTGTACGAAACAACAAAGAAGCTCGCCGGAAACTATCGTAAACCAGAACGACCAGTGAAAAGTAAGGAACGTAAAGTAATCAGCAACACTGAAAAACATAGAAATAGGTGGGTAGACCTCTTTTAGCAACTCCGCTGAACAAAACCAACATCGAAGCAGCGTGCACGAACCTCACAATTAATATTGACACACCCACGATTGAGGAAATCAGTATGGCCATCAGACAAATCAAGAGCGGCAAAGCAGCAGGACCAGACAACATTCCAGCAAAGGCAATGAAAGCAGATGTAGAAGCAACTGTGAAAATATTTCACATCCTCTTCACGAAGATTTGGGATGAGGAACAAGTACCATCAGATTGGAAAGAAGGATACCTGATCAAAATACCAAAGAAAGGTGATCTCAGCAAGTGTGAGAACTACAGAGGCATCACTCTTCTTTCAATACCAGGCAAAGTCTTCAAAGGGTATTGTTAAACAGAATGAAGGACTTCGTAGACGCCCAACTTCGAGATCAACAGGCCGGATTTCGTAAGGATCGATCGTTTACTGACTAAATTGCTACATTACGGATCATTGTGGAACAATCAATTGAATGGAACTCACCACTCTACATCAACTTCATCGACTACGAGAAAGCATTCGATAGCGTGTATAGGAAAACACTGTGGGGGCTTCTTCGACACTACGGTGTGCCTGAGAAAATAGTCAACACCATACGGAATTCTTATGATGGATTAAACTGCAAAATCGTGCACGGAGTTCAGCTGACAGACTCGTTCGAGGTGAAGACCGGTGTGAGGCAAGGTTGCTTACTCTCACCCTTTCTCTTTCTCCTGGTCATCGACTGGATTATGAAAACGTCAACATCTGGAGGGAAGCACGGTATCAACTGGACAGTTAGGACGCAGCTGGACTATCTGGACTTCGCAGATGAACTGGCTCTTCTATCGCACACGCAACAACAAATGCAAGAAAAGACGACCAGTGTAGCAGCAGCCTCTGCAGCAGTAGGTCTCAACATACATAAAGGAAAATGCAAAATTCTCCGATGCTACACAACATGCACCAAACAAATCACTCTTGATGCAGATGTCTTGAAGGACGTTAACACCTTTACATATCTGGGCAGCATCTTCGACAACCAAGGTGGATCGGACGCAGATGTGAGAGCACGGATTGGCAAAGCAAGGGCTGCATTTCTCCAACTGAAAAATATCTGGAACTCTAAACAACTTTCAACCAAAACCAAAGTCAGGATTTTCAATATAAATGTCAAGACAGTTCTACTGTATGGAGCGGAAACGTGGAGAACTACCAAAGCCATCATCCAGAGGATACAAGTGTTTATTAACAGCTGTCTACGCAAAATGCTTCGTATTCGTTGGCCAGACACCATCAGCAACAACGAACTGTGGGAGAGAACAAACCGGATTCCGGTGGAGGTGGATAGGACATACACTACTAAAAGCACCTAACTGCGTCACGAGACAAGCCCTCACATGGAACCCTAAGGCGAAAGAAAAGAGGAAGGCCAAGGAACACATTGCCACGAGAAATAGAGAAAGACATGAGATGAATGAACAAAAATTGGACAGGACTGAAAAGGGTAGCCCAGGATATAGTAGGTTGGAGAAAACTGATCGGCGACCTATGCTCCATTGGGGGTAACAGGCGTAAGTAAGTAAGTAAGGCAATCCCCATCCATTCTTCTTGTGGCATGAAACAACTGAAAAACCATCTATTAACCTTGTGAAGGCATTCAACACAGTACTCCACGTACCCCCAATTTCGGTTTCGAAAATGGGCTTAGCTGATCTATTGTACCTCGGTTCATAAATTACCCAGAGAAAAAAATGTTTTGTACCACAAGAGATAGATCGCACGTTAACTGATGAGTCTGAATAGGGGTTTTGCAGTCTTCCGCGTCATATTTATTACTGTCATGTCAGATAATATTAGCCCAACGGCACTCATCAATGAAGATAATACAAAGATGTGGAGTTCAATGAATAGAGAAGAGGATCAACTGTGTTTGAAAACGACCTTACTAATATTGAGGAATGGGCAGTGGACAACGGGTTAAAACTTGACTAGTCGAAATGTCATGACAAGAACATTTTGCAAAAAACTTATGTCCTCCATATACGTCTTCTTCCTGATATCTCAAATTAATGACCACAGGGAGCCTGGACACCAGTTTGAACTACACAGAATTTGCAGCCGGAGATAACACATCTTTACATTATGTGAAGACACCTTGGTGCGATCACCCTAGCATCATACCTAAACCTTCCTAAAACATATTAATAACCTTACCCTGATTTTTCTGATTCTGCAGCACTCCTTCTCTTCTACGGAGATATATCTGTTTGAGCTAGCGAAGAGATGAACAACTAAGTTTTTAACAGAGTTAAAGAACTAACATTACAGAGTCAGGCTCCGAAACTTTGGACAATCTCAACTGAGTTATAGGAGATCCAGTGGAGATATGATAATGATAATGATAACTTTAGGTTCGCCGAATCATCCCAACAAGAGCTTTCTTTAAAAAAAATCACCACCACACATCAGGATGACCCTGAAAAAGATTCAGATAAAGAGCTAATACCTAAGTATATTTCCACCTTTTCTAATTAAGATTTCCCCCAACTTAGAATGGTCTCACGGTCGAAAAGAACTCACCCTCCTCAGTGGATAGCTTGAAGAAGCAAGTCCTGAAACCTGGCTGTCATTTAAGCTCTGTCCTTCCCTCAGGTCATTAACTTGTTCCATCTTGCTTATGATACACGTTTCTTCATCTTCGCATACATTTCCTTCCTCTAACACAACCTTTACTACCAAATAATAAACTAAATTACCTATTGTTTTTTTAGATCTAAAATCTCCTCATTAATATTGGAATCTTTTTCTCATTAATTTCTATATTGCAACTAACTGACCTCCATCATGGTAACGTGAGAGGTGCAGGAATCCGGAAATACTAGTGCACCGAGACAAACACACTCACTCAAATCACTGGACATACAAATTTATAAATAACCGCAAATTGACTAGAATTAGTGGAGTTAAGTGGCTAGACCACCATCCATGGGACATAAACAAATACCTGGAACCGAGCGCAAAGAAATTAATTAGTTAACACTAGCTCATTAAAAAAATGTTGGATATGCCCCATGGCCGTGGTGATAGCGGAGGCGGACAGTCAATCACCATTGGCAAACAGTGAGAGATATCATCCAGAATGCTGTCGTAAACAATGCACTTCAGTCACATCACACACCTGGGAATAGAAGAACATTGGTTAGACGCGGCACTGAATGCTTGATACAGGCGGAGAGAAGAGTCTGGCTAGTTCTTATCATTGCCATCCCCTCAGATCACTTACCTTATCTATCTGTCATATCTTTTTCTTCCCCCTTGCTTCCACTACGGTCCTCTCTCACAATCTTCACTACCAATTAACAAACTAAATTCATCTATATATTACTCAGTTCTGAAATTTTTTTAATATTAGCACTAGAATTTTTTCCTTATTACTCTCCACATTGCAACTAACTGACCTCCGGTCTGGTAATGTGATAGCTACTGGTATCCAGAAACCCTACTGCCCTGAAACAAACGTTTTCATGCAAATCCCGAGACATACACACTCACAACCAACTGCAAACTGACTAGAATTAAAAGTCGAGTGGCTAGACCTCCATCCATTGGACATTACAGAATACCTGGAACCGTACCGAGAGAACGAGAATCGAGCGCAAAGAAATCAAATTGGTTTAGCTCGTGAAAACGATATTGGATATTGGATGTACTTAAAGGTCATCGATAACGCCATACAATAATATGGCATCATTTTGAATAGTAGTTTTCAACCATGTACAATAGAAATGTACAAGGCATGTTCAGGGAGCCAGCATATGCAGAACCAGTAATACAATTGAGAAGTCCAGAAAACCTTCGGGATAGAAACCAGTTGAAGGTAAATCAGTAGATTTTCGGTATATGAAGTAAGTAATGCATCTAAATGATGTATATAAGTGTTACTCAGTTGCTTTATAAATAATTTGCTTGTTAGAATGAAATTTTCTGGCAAAGTCAGTGCATCTACCACTCAGAAGTTTTAAATGTTCCTTTAATTAAAACTAATAACGTCTTAAGATGTTACTCACGGGCTGCATCTAGATTTTCTGTTCAGATAAATTAAACCGTGGTAATAATGAGTATTACAAATGACTGACATAATAGCTCGTTGGGTTTTTCTGACCTAATCTAAGAGAATCACTTGACACGCAACACTTCGAAACGATGCACTAATTAAAGGATGTGATGTTTGTTTTTCTAACTACATATGCACAAAAAGGTATCGAATTATCTATTCAGATCTCATAACTGCTGAAGTTCATGCCTCACTTATTTTTTTGCTCAAATTTCAAGCTTTAGATGTCAAATGCGAGTGGAAAAGGCATCTTTAGTCATTATCTGTAGAACAGTAGTAATAAAGAAATCATTTAGATAGTCCTTGCATAATGTTGCATTTATGATAATACTCAGTCATACATATTCGCTAGAACAAGTTGCTGCTAGAATAGTTAGAACACAGTCTTTTCCCAGTTATCGAGATAAATCGGCATTCATTTTTCATTTTTGTCACTCATAGAAGCGTTATCATCTGCTTAAATCTAGAAGACTATCGAATCCGCAATCTTCAGTTAATATTGTTAGTGACAGAAGAAATCATGATTTGAAATCGGAACAGGTCAATCAACTTAAAGATAATGAACGGAATAAATTTCATCTTAGAAGTTCTCGCAGTCGTGAAAATCCAACAGTTAATAGACGCTCTGTTCAAAATAACAATCCGTTGTTCCATAATCCAGAAACTTATAAGTACCAGCCGTTTGATATGTCCATGTGGACTCCTAATTTGGGCCATCCCTACTCACATGTACCACAGTTTCAACCAAACCAAACCCTACTTATTGGACCGGAAGAATATGATCAATATACATCTGACGATTCACAAGAAAACCACTTGTTTCCTAATACTGTCAAATCTATGCCATGTTCACCTGGAGTCAATCAACGCATTGAGGATCACTGTGTTATCGACCCCGGTTTTACTGTATCTGAACAGTTTGGCGAGAAGCATTTTGGATACATTTACCCGTATGAGTTTTACGAAAATCAGTTGAATAAACAGTTGACAAAGTTGAGTATGCTCCATGCCCAACAACTAAATATTCAGGTTCTGCTAGAGCGTGAATGGCTGAAATTGCACAAGGTTGGTTGTTAAACATCATATATTTTCGTATGAAATTGTGGCATATTTTTATTATCAGTAAAGCGTTTATACAAACCTTATATTCAAACATAAATGAAGAATAACGGTATCAGTTATTGTTGATTTTACATTTAATAGCTGAAAAGCAGGTAGTATCTTGTATAATTCCGTCACAAAGACAATTTAATTCAAGTTCTCTATCGATATCTTCACAACATAAGGTTACATAGATATGAATCATTTTTAATTAAACTACCACAAGCAGTTATGAACAAAATTTTGGTTTTGACATATTGGTCGTTGTCAAAAGATTACAGCAGTTAGCCGCCACTCAATGATGTTAGAGAATTTCACAACCCACTGTACTTTTATCTGTGAAGTTAGGCAAAGATATTTTTAATGTCAATTTATGTAATAACTTTCTGTTAATATGTTTGCTCATTTTTTTCTCTTTCCTCAGTATTAGTAGTTAAACGTTCAGGAATGTGACATGAGTTATACATTAATATCTGTGATCGATTAATTGATTGTGGAAAATTTTTTATATGTGATAGACCACCTGAGAAGCGTATAGTTCTAAACTGTCTTTCAACTTATTACTGTTATATCTCGTAGGGCTGATAACTAATAAATAACTAAGATAAATATACCTTCCATCTGCACAAGTGTTGATTTTAACGATTCACTAAAAAAAAATTATTTTTGGGCTGTGTTGATAATGAACGTTTGGAACAAGATGGTTGTCATAAAGCTTTAGGATATTTTGTTTCGTCTACTTGATTTATGCTTCAACTTAATTTTATAAGAAAATAATATACTTTAAGATGGTTGGAATATTTACTTATTCAGATAAATATATGTTAAAAATAATGTTTGAATATGAATTTATTGTTCTAACCAAACCAGCCAGTATTGTATCACTCTTTTTCATTTCATGTAGTAGGTAAAGTTTAGTTTTTTTTTCAAAGTAAAACTGAAAACAGATACCCAGCATGACTAACAGGACACTATAATTTGTGTTTATTCATTTGATGTGATTGATCAATCCTATCAATTTAGGTATTCCCATTTTGCCCTCTATAACGTGTATCAATGTATGAAGTTCCAAGAATTATCTTCCATATATATTCTGGTCTATTCATAGAAATATATGTTATTTCTCAAAGTGGTAATGTCTAAATAAAAAAAATCACCTCCATGATGAATAACGTCTTAATGACAAGCCAAGGTAATGTCATCCATATACTGTTGGTCCTTAAAATACTGTCTTTTTACCTTAACCTATTGGATTATATGGAACCCTGTTTGTTCAAAATGCTGTGATGAGCAAGTCAAGATACCAGACTGACTATGCTCACCACTAAATGTTCCGTACGGTCCCGTCTTTAAGACAAAATAAATTCATGGTTGAGTATTTTATTGAAGGAGAACGTTGGCATTGCATGGGGAGCAGAGCATTTACAAAAATGGCAGCAACGCGAAGAGAACGTTGAGCGCAAGAAGTAAAAGAAGTGTTTTTGGCACAGTTAAACAAAACGGGTACAATAATGTTTATTTTTCACAAATCATATTTTCTTCGTAGAAGCATTCCACTACAATGCGCTAACTGAAAAAAGCAGCCGAGTAAGACGATTCTTCTTCAACATCGGGTTGTACTTTTATTTTGTGAAGAGATCTGCATATTTTGAAAATAATTCCTATTACAAAACTAATATCATCGTTGGATAAATGTTCTATCATCATTATAAGCAATTTGACTTGCCAGTTTCGCTTTAGATAGGATCTAAAACACCTGATTCGTCGCAATACATTCAAAGCACTGAGTTATAATCTAGCCTTCTAGTCAATGTTACCTTATGACTTTAATCAGATAGAATTAAAAAAGTTTATCTTACTGTTTGTTTTATTTTTGATATAAAACAAAGAAAATGATGTTCAATATGAAGTATAAATAGTTGTCAACTTCAAAAAAAAATATTTTTTAACTTTTTGGATTACCAAACTTTATATATAGATGACTGTTTGTGAAATGTATTGAGCAAATGCAATTTTTCAAAGTCAACAATAGTGATCATCGGAAGGCTTTGTCATTCATTCGTTAAAGTTGAAAGTTATCAAGTATACCAATTGTAATCAACATTTGATGACCTATCTCTCTGTTCAAACGGTACAATTAGCGTTGAAAGACGAAATTAAAATTTTCTTCTTCGAAGTAGTCAAGGTAGCAAAATTTTACAAGTTATAAGGCAGGAAATGATTTTTTTTTAGTGGTGAAATATATTAGCTGTGGATAGGTAGTGGACAGTCGTGGATTTACATTTTACATAAACTACTGTTTACTAGGCGTATTCTTGAAGAATTAAAACCGGATCCATTAAGTCTTGCTATTAACTTCATTTGCTAGTTTAGACAACTTCCGTTCTAGAATTCGCTATAATATTTGGAATTCAGCAAAAGTAAGGGTGTATACTACAGACCCTTAACATTTTTCTAACTCTGTAAGAATTACAGTACACTTATCTATCCGTCGCTGTAGAAAGAATGCTATTAAAAATTGTCATCAATGAACAAAGCCTGAAATGGTTTTATGCTTCAAAGAAGTCAAAATTGAGAAAGAAGATTCATTATACACCACTAATAGATTACAACTGGTTCACAACTATGATAAAATATACTAATTTGTCATACTAGAGTACATTGAATTATGCAGTACTTAACAAAAATTAACCAATAATTTTAATCCATCTACAGAATGTAAAATATCAGAAGACTAAATTTCCCCCCCCCAACTCACAAATATAACTAAAATAAAGGAGTTAAATACCAATTCAAATGCAAATAAGAATGATATGATTTCCTAGAAAAGATGTAAGTGATATTTATACAGACAACTGTTTATCTAACTTACAGTTCTGAAAAAACAACAGGAATGAAACAACTTAAGCATGGCAACGATCGATAATTTGATAAGCTACTAGGCTAAACTAGACACATTGCAAAAGAGAGGCTATATCAATTACCTTTGAATCAACCGTTCCACTCTAAAATTAATAAACTATGAGTGCCTGTAATATATATATATATACACAAGATTTTACTGAATATATCATTTGAAGTGCTTTTAAATATGAAAATACTATAAAAAAGTGTAATAATTAAACATTTTTTTACTGTTATACTATTTTCATTTTATTCTAGCTTAATTGTTTAAAAATGTCAAAGTATGGTTATAACGATTTGAGAAAATCTGGTAAGTGTAATAATGAATGAAATTAGATTTTTGTCTACAAGTGTTTTTAGTTTAAAAAAAAAAAAGCTTTTAGAGTATCTGTTAGATGAAAAGTAATAAATAGATTGGCTAAAAAGCTACCAATAGGAATTATCCAAAAGATAATCGAACTGAATAATTTTCCTGAGGATTTTAAATTTTTACGAATCAGATGCGTTTAGAATTGAAAGTATTTATTAACAGCATACACTATAAATTTTAGACTGTCTTTGTTTATTGATATAATCTATTGTTAAGTTTCTGATTTTGCAATTCCTCTGGGTCCACTGACTGAGCGATGCAGCGGTGATAGGTAGGGATGACAAACTAACTGATGCAGTAGTGAATCTTCATTAATCGAGGTGGTTTGAAAATGTATTACATATGTGCAACCACCAACTGCCTCAATGCACAATGTTTTGTGATGTAGGAGTGATGTGGAAGAATGCTAAAGGTGACCAAACTGCAACATGGCACAAATGCATGATATCATTGACAACTAAACTGAGACATAATATTAAGTGTAGACTATGAGATTGTGGTCCGAGCGATAATTATAACCAGTGGTTGTAGACTTTGAATGGCTTTGCTCAACATCGTTTGCAATGGTGCATATATATATATATATATATATATATATATATATACATTCCATGTCTTCACTCAAGTACTGAGATTTTGAATTCCTCATTACCGGTTTTTTCTGTTTTTAAATTTATTTCACCGGATTAAATTTCTCGAATCCTACCTAATCTTCTACATTACTGCTAATACTTCTCCCGCCTCTACTTCTCTTGAAATTGGCTTGACATTTTCATCTCTCTTGGACTGCTGTACACATATATATCAAGGTCTGCCTTCTAAAACTAGTTGATTTGCTCTTCTCCTATGTAAGCATTTCTTAAGAATGTTGAAAAAGCCTTGTCATCGAGAAATTATTTACAATATATATACATGACGTAATATTTTATCGACGTTTATCTAAATGATAACCCTAACCATAATATTTATTCACTATTTCTACTTTTCATATCTACTTGACATTAAAACTAGCCCTACACTTCCATTCCTTCCATTTTATCGAAATGATTTTTGATTTTGATTTTTTCATAGTAATAACAAGAAATTGTATCGTGGAATCACGTGTTATATATATATATTTATATATATATAACACTAGGACATGATGGAATTCATTTTAATCAAAATATATAAAGATTTACTAAACTATTCCCGAAAAATTCTTTTCTTGTATATCAGAATCTTTAAATTCAAAATTTCGAGTATTTGAATGTTTTTTTTTTGATAAAAATTAAAATAATTATCATTTACAGTGATACATACATTCATACATTCATTCATATCTGTTAAACACATACTCAATTTTACACACACACACACACACACACACTGTTCAACCTTCTTGATAAAGAAAAACAACATTTTCTGATGATTCACATTGAATTAGTTAGTACATTAATTTTGTTGTTTCATTTGGAGACTTTACACATTTCAGTAATAGTTGTTGAATTGATTTAAGTAGTATATATATATACATACACACACACACAAACAGAGAGACAGGCAACTCATATATGCCAATGTCTTAGTGTAAATTCGAGTAAAGTTATTTTTCTTAAAACATTATTTTCAATCTACACGTAATTCACCATTATATATTGAAATTACAATAAGACTTTCTCCTTCGCTCTCTCACTCTCTATCGGTTTTATTTACTTATTCTTATCAAAAAAAACTCATGGTGTTCACTGAATATATCAAATGTAAAGTTGTTAAATTTATTTTGACAATAACAATCAAAACTAGTGTTGATAGATTATTAAAAACAAAAATGTTCAACGTAACTGCCACAATATTTAGAGACATCGTGGAGTCTGTAATACTACTAAATGAAGATGCCCGGCTGATCGGTCTGTGGACGCTTACGTCTTCGTCTCCAACGTGTACGGCTAAACCGACGAGAAGACAATGTTGTTCCAGTAATGAAGGAAAACCTGCTAGATTCTTCTTAACAATCTAAGAAGCTAGTTGATTCTAAATCAGAACTCATCATCGAAGGAGTTTCATAGGTACTCGGACCAGGTAAATGACGATAATGGCGATGGCGTGAACCATTATGGTTTGTCTGTTGAGTTATATAACTACCACCACCCGCTGTATAATGATATCGTCCACTAGATTTATAATGCTGAAAGTTACTCAGAGGAGCGATGCGATCTTGATTAGCACTATGTATAGATTCCGTCTCTGTATCGTAACTCTGTCCAATATTTTCTCCATGTCCAAGGTTTGCAGAAGTAGAATCAGCTGAAGCAGCGGTCGTATGTGACTGCAGCACATAAGAATTGATTTTGCATCCGTTGTTGCGCGTATTGTTTGACTCCACATCAAGATCAGTAACATATTTGCACTAGTATTTGCTTCACCAGAAGGGCTGAGAATACCTGCATCGGACGTTTTTACTTTCATCTGCAGTCACTAGCAAAAAATAACACGACCATTAAAACAAGGGAGTGGAGCGTTATCTTCAGATATTTCTTCCTTAACAACCCCAAAATCATCGTCCAGTGATTCGAAGAAAAATTTCGAATGCAGTCTATTCAGAGCATTTTTGAAATCACCAAGCGTGACTTTTTCTGAAGCGATATTGAGTTTAACATGGGAGGGAGTCTCTTCTTCATCCATGTAATATATAAACCTGATCTCGGCACCGATATTGCCGTCAGTCATCGGGAACTAAACCCGGAGAAAACCGCCCTGAAGGAAAATATCAACAAAATACTATTTTTATTGTTTTTGACCAATGCAATGAAAGTGCTGATAAGATAAGATACAAAGTAACATGTATATTCAACACGGAATGTTTTTTTGGGGGAAAAATTCTTTCAAGAAATAAACAACTTTTTGTGAGTCAACTACACACACACATGTACAACATGATTAAAATCTTGAGAAGAGAGAAAGTTCAGTGAAATTGCTTAAAAAATTAGGCTTTAACACATAATACACAGAACCAGCCATAAAGTTATCTAAACGATTTATGTGGTAAGAATGGTTGTTCTATACGTTACTTTGAAACACTTTGAAAAGCTAATTTCATCCGAATTTATCAGCGTATCTATATAGCACCAATAAACATAAAACACAAACAACCAGCATAAAACCATTTTCGGGCTGTTTGAATTTCTGGAGATTCTGGTTAGCATTTTTTTAGCAAGTTAGTTTTCTACGGATGGGATCACTAACCACATGCCCAACCCTTCCCCTTTATCCGGGGTTGGGACCGGAAGTAGACTAGAGGCGACTCAGGCTCCAAATTCTATTCATTTAAAAATGAACTACCTTAAATTTTAAGAGATTCATGGGCAGCATTATATGTGGAATCGACGATGTTCTGATTAGTTGATTCATTATTGAAAAAAACTTAGTGTCTGCCTATTTTACGTACTCTTTTTTACTAAAACCACAAAGCTGTAAAATCTGATGTGCCATTTTTCTGTTCAATCGTTAAATTACTTTGATCAATGATGGTAGGCTAGGTATTATGAAAGTTTGTCTCCAAATTACAAAGATTTGTAACGTCATGTATAAATGGAATGCTCTTTACAGATTCATGATTTGTGAATGGTTAAATTAATGTTAAATTAGTGCTTTTTTCACATTGAAATCATCACTCAGTCAGACCACACCATTAGAAATCTGAAAGCGCTGGACGGTCATTTCGTCTTAGTATGGAACTCATCAGCAGTGCGCATCCACGACTCCCGCACCTCACAGGATTCGAACCCAGGAACTTCGGTCTTGCGCACGAACCCCCAACCTCTAGACCACTGAGCCGGCATCCAATGGTGTTCATGTCTAACTCTCATCAATCTACAGATTTTGCGCCACCTCAACCATTTGTCTTTGGTTAGTTACTGCCTACACCTGACAGGGTTGAACTCCACTGGTCACGTCTTCTCACTAGGACTCCGAGAATTTCCTCACGAAGCTAGTAGTCACTAGTGGGCACATTTTACGATATTTTCAATTAGAGTTATGGAGATTAGTGTTTGTTGCACAATGAGATCATCAATCAATCATTTTTAGACCACTACTAGAAGTCTGAAAACACTGAACGTCCGTTTCGTCCTGATATGGAACTCATCAGCATCCTACTTTCAAAGCTAGTCACTAGTGACCGCATAATGTTTATCAATGTGGCAGTTATGTAGATTGTTGTGTATTGTTAAAATTTGACTTTTGGATACAGTGAGCATATGTGTAATTTTTCGCCGAATACACTTAGTGTAAGAATGTATTGAATTTCTCTCTTTTAATTCTTTTTCTATTTTCTATCTCACAGAAAATGATAATCAATTTCAATTTCCATTTCCTGAAAATCAAAATATCACAAGAACTGTCCGTTCAACAAGTGATAACAATCATAATAATAATCATAATAATCATAATCATAATAAAATACCAGTTCATTCACCTAAAATGAATCAAGCACATTCATCAAAACATCAAAGTCAATCATTGAATTTAAATAAAAATTACAAATCAGCTGATGGTGGACTTGATAATTCCGATGAGATTGATGATAATAATAATCAACCAATTCGCAATGATGATGATGATGATGATGTATATGGTAATTCTAACTACACAGGAATGCAACAACGATGTCGTAATAGTGTAGCTGAAGAGATATTCGATTTCAATCCATATTATCATATGATTTCACCAAATAATACATTAAAAATCAAGAAACAAGCATATAATAATTTGAGTAAGAAATTAAATTTTATTGAGTTTGATCATTTACAACGTTGTCTTTTTCGATAGATTTTTAAGATAAATTGATCTTCTTAAGATGACATTGAATACTTCCGAATTGTATTTAACTATATGACTTGCAGGTTTTTTCAGAGTAAACTGATGTAATTAGTGAATTATTCATAAGAAAATTCGAAAAGCATAGTAACTTACAGTTCGTATATTAATATATATTAGTCGGAATGAATTACTTCATTGTTCCTGGTTGGTTTTATATAATCAGAAAGACTTTTCCTTTCTTGTTGTTGCATATCAGGAGGAGTGGACACAACAGTAGTTAAAAAGAGCAATTTCTTTTGTCATATCAGTAGTGTTCACTAAGGTGGGGCTTTGACAATCTAATTTTACTGTATTTTGAGTATAGATAAAACAGCTTACATACAACACTCCTCCATTATACACTATCATCAAGTATGACCCAGAGACTTTCTCTACAAAAACAAGTTTTCCGAAGGAACAAATGAAACATAATAAGTATTCATTAGACGGATCATAGTTCACTTTAGTCAATAAGGACTATTATTAAATCACTAAATCACAGCTGATAGCCTTTTGCAAACTATTAGACAAATTGGTTTGATATATATTATTCTATTTACTGTAATTGGGTTGATAGTGAGGACACATTTTACCTAGAAGCAGTCACACACATTCGCTTGATGCCTTGGTTTAAAGATTTGCAATTAGCCGTTTGGTTTTTAAAACTGTGTACTTCTGGTCAGTACAAACGTAAAAAACACAAAGATATAATATGTGTCTCAGTTGTTACCAGAAGATCATACTAAATTTAGTAATCTTAGAAACAAATAGACCAATGATTAATATTTTTTCTTGAATAAAATTATATGAAACAAAATTCTGCTTGTATGCTTCTGCAGCTAAATAATATTAAGAAATGGAAGATTTGAAATTCTCGTCTGATTAGTCTGTCCGAACTATAACCAGCTTTGGAAAGAAATGTTAACTGATGTAGGAGTAAGTTTGGAGAATATTGTATGTCTGATCCATGATACTATATAAAGACTATCTGGTTGGAATACGTGCAATAGATGTGATCATTATGTGGAGATATTGGATGACATGGCTTCAAAACGACCGTGATTGCTCAGATGTATTCACTTTTTAAATCGTTCACATCTTTAGTTTTAAGATTCTTTATCACATCGATTTTTATCCTGCTTTACGAACCGTATTCCCAATATTTAATCTTCCTTCGTTGGCGTTTCAACTCATTTACCAGTGCTTATGTGCAAAGCGATTGTGGTTCACTCTCATTTGTTCCACATATTAAAATGATTGTAAGTAGCTAGCTAACTGATGTGCCTCAAAAGGACTTTGGTCAATCAAATTGTTTGTTGAATAGACAAATCTGTGCTGTATGGATTATGTTTTTATCATACTTCTAGCCTTAAAACATGTAAAGTCATATCAATTACCAACGATTTTATTCAGGTAGAAGCATCAAATCATTCGGATGACTAATAAAAGAACTTGTAAAAGTATGTAATTCTGGACGAATTACTGAACTATACACATATATATATGTGTTACTGGCAACACTTATTGCTTTCAGACTGGGTTTAGAGAGAATATGAAAGTATATTTTGTGAGATAAGGAACTTGTTTTCAATATGCTACAGATGGACACTTATATCACTGTTAGAGGTACTGGTATTTGATTATAACACTTTACTCAAGAATCTGTGAATGCGAATACACCAACCAACATAGAGTATGTAGTCAATGTAGTTTAATTTGTCAGGATTGAGAAAATCTCCAAAGTATTTAGATTACAAATCCAGGACTTGTTTATACTAACATCTAGTTTAAGTTTCAATAGTGAAGTCAGTCTTTCGCATCACTTTAAACGTTTGCCAATATTTATATTATAATAATAGTGAAAGAGATCTTCTACACCTACTTTTTACTTATCAATTCATCAAACCTGGGAATTGATCTACTTGTCTTTATCAGACACTATTCCACTTCATGCTACTCTATGAAATTTGAAATAGAACAAGCAGTAGGGAATCAGTGTTGACATGTAACCTAGTCTACAACATAGAACTAACTACATTTATGAAAAAACAAACCTAATCAAAACATAACAAAACACAATCACTCATCAATTATCCTCATTATTTTTTTATTTTTTCCAATGAGTTCTATTGAACACAAAAAATAATTATAATAATAATAAATCATTTGTTATTATCTACGTAAGAAATGCCAAAATGAATAAAAATAATAATAATAATAATAATAATAATAATTTCACTAAAAAAAAAACAACACCATAAAAACACCAATGAATAATAATAATATCTCATTTCGATATATTCATATTGAAATGATGTATGCATACAAAAGTACCAATTAATGTTGTTTTTGAAAGTATTCCTTGATATACAATTTACACATTGAAAAGTAAAATTGTAAAACTAATTTACACTACTGATGATAATGATGATGATGATGATGGCTTTTTAAGCAATCCACATTTTTTCGAATATCACATCACATATACACGTACATACACAATTGGCATCATTAATGTGTGTGCGGATGTGCATGTGTGTGTGTGTATGTGTAAAGGGGAAAGAAGGAAATATGAAATTTTTTAAATTTTTATTGAATTAATAATGATAGAGTAATCTGACAACTTGTAGATAACAAAAGAAAAAAATTAAAAAGAATTAACTTTTCATTGTACACTACTTCTTCTACACTGTGCAATCTTTGTTTTTCACATGATAACAATGGATCACATCACTATAAAGAATTCTACAAATGTACTGAACAGTTTGATATATATATATATAAATATAAATACGTTTAAAAAATTATTGATCGACACGTACTTCAACCTGATGTAACATACAGAATAATGTTTACGAAAAAAAATCCCCTCCGGCCCCCCGCCTCACCCTTTGTGCACTTTCGATACATGTTACCCGATAATATTAAGAATATTTGAAAAATAGAATGATATAATCGGTCATTATTATTTTAAGGATTGATACAAAAGCTAATCATATATGCTGTAGTGATTATCTTTCCAATATTAATTAGCCCTAATAATATAATCAGCTGATAATTTCTAAATAGGATAAATTGGGATATCCAGCATTCTTCTGTTTAACAAGCTATCACATATTGAATAAATGGCTCTATAGAATTCAAAAATCTATTATTATTATTATTATTACACTGGTAGTTTTATTTTAAATACTTCAACCTCATGTTACAGAACAATTTTTACGAAAATATCCCCTCCACCCTACCCTTTTACACTTTCGATACATGTTACTTACTTACTTA